CTCTGACATCATCTATAATTGTGTACTCTATATACATGAAGTACCAGTGTTCCAATATCATAAAGTAATATGCGTTTGTTAAAGTACATCATTCATTATTTTTATGCTGTAAACATTCAACACACCACATATCAGGTCTTGTGCAGAGTCAATAAGCATTTAAATGACCGAGAACAGCATAAAGATCTGTGTCATCTAGATGCTTTCAATGATAAATGTTACATATATTGGTTACTTGGATTCAAGTGTAACATAAACCAATGGTCTGATTTCTAAAGCATATTTTGTATAAAAAAAAGAAAGCATATAAGTATAAATGAGCATTTTCAGTGAGCCCTAAATTAACATAAACTACATGTATGCATCAAAGCATGCTGAAACCTTAACATTTTTACTGGAAGTGGGTGTAGGTACTCAGGTGGCAATTAAGGGTCTACAGTACTTATGCAAGTAGTACATGTAAAATAATAATGAACATACAGTCTGTAGTATATTTTAGCTATGACATGCCCACACACATCCCGTTTATTTACTAATACCAAAATGATAGTTTAAATTAGATTTCATTTACATGTTACTTGGAAAAAATAAATAACCATAAGTTTAAATAAATCCTTTGCTTTATTTAAAGGTAACTATTTGATATACTGTGTAAAATTAGAAATAAAAGATCTAATTAACAATATCAGTTTATGATAATTATACTATAGTTCTATAGGTCAATATTCAGGTGGTCCTAGCTTAAAGATGGGGATTATTTTAAACAAAACATAGTACGGAATATATTGCAGTTAAAAGATATGTTTACAAAATATTTATGGCAAATGTATTCAAAACACTATAGTCTATAATACAATTATATGTACTCAAAATTTAGAATACAAAAGAAAAAATCATCTTCGACAGATGTGTATTACAATAGCTGTTCTTCATAATGTAAAAAGAAAAGGCCATTAACTCTGTATGTTTGGGAATAAAAAGCCCCTGTATAATTTTAATACATGTTATGAAGCTGCAAAAATAAGTATTTGTATAAAAATAAAGAAAAATATTGTGCAAAACAAAATCTGGGCAAATAAAATTTAGGTCAAAAAGTACCTCAAATAATAACAACAACAACAAAAGGGTAACAACATAAATAAATATAATGCCATATTTACATCAAGGTTCTAGGATATGCAGGTTTAAACAACAACAACAACAATATAAATCTACCCAACATATTGAATCATATTAATATAATTATGTATATATAAGTTATATATATGGTTACATATATTCTAAAACTAACAACAAGTATATGTACATGGACATAAAAAAACTATCCAAATCTATACATATGTAAATTATTTGGTACATTTTGCAGTATCATATTACAGTTAAAACATAAAGGACATAGAACAAGCGCTATGTTCAAATGAATGTCTTTTTCCTTTGGGGACCTTGACCTTTGACCAAGAGACATCTCAGCGGGTCTGGCAGGAAAAGCTTATCAATGTGCGTGCACTTGTGAAGTTTAAAGGTTACAGGATGTCTGTGTTATGGTCAAGGTCAACGTTAAAATTTTGGACAAAATAAACAGACAAACCAAAAGCAATATACCCTCCTGATCAATCTTTTCTGAGGGCATAGAAAATTCTTCTGTTTTAATAAGGAGGGAAAATCCCAATTTGCTTGTTTGTCAATAATTACAAACAATAGAAGGCACCTTAAACTACAAGGTACAATATTTACATACCTCAATAGTTTCTTACAAGCAAACAAACGCAATTTTGACTCAAACCTTCAAAGCTATTTGGCAACTTAGTCCAAAGATTCATCACATAAAAAAACATGATTATTTCTTTTTGGTTAAGTTTCAAATAACATCAAAATTTGAAAGGTTCTCTTGAGGACTGTCCAGGTTTACTGGTAGAAGTAAATATCAAGTAACCCTTCACGATTTATTTCTAGTGAACGCCCTAGAAGAGACTTCATCCTTCCTTAAGCTAGCCATGTGAAATGAATATCAGTAGTTATGATGGCTTTTTTTGACATTTCAGTAAAAAAAAATTATACTCCACAACAACCTGGAACTACAGTATTGTTTATCAGAAATTTCCAATTTTTACTTCAGTTAACACTTAAGTAAGTGTCTATATGTACATGCATAGAACGTTTGTTTGTTTTTTGGTTTTTACGTAAATTTTAACACATTTTTGGCCATATATTAGCGTGCATGGAAGGTGATTTGTGACTGGTGAAAAACAAAGCTATGCTGTTTTCATTGTATGTACTGCATATGTATATGAAAGCTTTAAGTCCATAGATATGTGTATAAAAATATCTATCTCTAGTATAGCATAACATCAAACAATGAGATCCAGCTATATGTTCAATAAGTCCATGAGTAAAAACTACATGTGGGAACCAGTCTAAGAAAGCAACAAGCTATTGGTCAAATTCAAATATTGAATTCCAATAAGCCAATCAGATTTGGGATTTGCGTATGAGAATGGTTTCAGATTTCCTTTTTTTTTCAAACCTGCTATCAAGTTAGTAAAAGACTGAAAAAAAATTTGTAAAGGTATCTATGGAAAGCTACTCAGCAACTTTTTTTTAAAGTCTGTCATTAAAAACAATTGTCTATTTGTGCATTTACTGAGTCATTTTTCAATATGAGTTAACTGTCACTGCACCAAAGTGACGATATATTATATTGTCACTGCTATATTATATACAATGAGGTCAGGTGGTTATATAATTACACTTGTTTATAACTTAGCTAAGTCATACAATCTATCATAAATCTTAAACCTATTATTGGCAAAAAGTAAGCATTCATTCTTACATAATAACTGACATTATAAAAAGGCTACAATCCAATGATTTATTCAATACCAATCTTCAAAATCCATTTTTAGGATAAAACTCTGGTTAAGTTAAATATATATTAATACTTTCCCTCTTGTTAAAAAGGTATGTCTGTCCTTTTGGAAGAAACAAGAGCTAGACAGTTTTAGTTTCAGCATAGTACAGATTAAATATGGCAATGTGCACTGAAAAATGTGGGTTCTCATCATAGTCCAATCTATTAAAACTTACTTTATTATGATATCCAATGAATTTGATTACATAATTGACTAGAATCAATAAAACAATATTCATATTTTGATATGGTACATATAAGCAACGGCAAATGATTTATAAGTACAACATACTGTGGTATTAGTGTCTCAGATACTTTGAAAAGCTTTACTGCATCACAAGGACTCCAATGGGTTAAGCCACTGTAAGGTGGCAGGGTAGCTTCCTTACAATAATGAATTCAACCTCCTTTTAAAGCTTGAACCCCTTACAGTTATCCCAATCATTACTGATTAATTTGATATATAACTAAGTTACTAAGAAATCGTACAATTAAGTAATTTTGGCAGAATATCTATGAAAAAAAATTAATAGGATCATAAGTTACGTACCAATTTTGAATGAAATGGTTGAGGAAAACCCGGGTATTCTATTTTAGAACTGATCAATTAGGTTTTCTGACACTATGCTATTTTCTAGCCTTAAATGATGGAGGAAGACATAAGATGCCTCTTTGTGCATCATTTCTGGCACCTCAAGGCACTCCAGTAGTATCATCGATCTTCAGTGAGCTGGTAGCTGAATGGCTTCTTCACAAGACAAATTCAAAGTCCCCAAGTCCCTGACAAGATTCGAACCAGCAGCAGTGAGGATAGTGAGTTTGCATCCGGGCAGAAAAACACAGCAGTAAGTTGAACTTCTAGACCATGACTAATTAGCTTCTCCTCAGGACAGAATTTGATGGTCTAAGCGCGATTTGAACGCACAGCAGTACAGGTTAAGTGATTCAGTCAGTAATTTATAACCATTCAGCTATGGAGATCCCTGTTGTGACAATCTTAGAGACCAATAGAAGTATATCTACATGTATAACAGATAATGAAGAGATGTTAATCATTTACCACTCAAGTTTCAAAATAGAAATGTGTCTATAGGACACAGAGTCCCAATATTCCACAGTTTTTTGAGTGTACGTATGAACAGCAAGTCAAATCTATATGCCCTCTACCCCTTAAGTGGAGGCATAAAAACAATGAAAATTGATACACAAAAATATTTTAAGTTTGTGTGAATATACCATTATGCATATTTTGTTGTGTTTGTTAAAAACTGGTATGTAAATGTGTGTTAATTCAACTGTTGTAGTTTATATGATATATACACAACTAGAAATGTGTCCATAGGACACGGATGCCCCCACACGCCACTGTTCTGTCAATCTTATGACTCTAGGTCAAATATTTTTTGGACTACATGTGCCACAAGTTGAAAACTAAAAATCAACAAAGGGCCATAATTCTGTTAAATTTGGTCGCAGCAAAAATTCCTTCCTTTACTACAATCTACACATTAAGGTTGTTAATCCCTGGAAGTTTAAGCAAAATCTGCCATCCGGTTTAAGAGAAGTTGCGTTCACAAAATTTCTACATAGTATATAGTGAAAAAATCAACAAAGGGCCATAATTCTGTAAAATTTGGTCGCAGCGAAAATTCCTTCCTTTACTACCATCTACACCTTAAGGTTGTTCATCCCTGTAAGTTTAAGCAAAATCTGCCATCCGGTTTTAGAGGAGTTGCGTTCACAAGATTTCGGGACGTACGGACGGACGGACTGACGTATTGACTGACTGACGGACGGATGGACAAGTGCAACGCTATATGCTCCCACATTGTGGGGGCATAAAAATCTTAAATATCATGGTTAAAAAATTTTACAATTAAACATATTTATCTAAATCTCTATAATTGATAAAAGGGTAATTATTAATATAGAAAAATAAAAATTGAAGATACAAAAAATCATTTTGCTGTGATTTTTTAAATAATCAATCACTAAAATAATTGTTTATCTAATAATCTAAGCTTGCATCTTAATACTAATTATACACTGAAATTATGTAATGTTGGGTCGTTAAAGTGTTTCTAGTTTTCTCCTCAGTGCTGTGCTTTTAGAAATTCTAAAACGCTCGGTAGCAAGAAAAAGGCTCACTCAATTAGAAACAAATCTATTAGGGGCCTTGTCTTATACTTAAACTTTAATTTAGGCAGCCTATGTCAATTCAAATCAGCACCTGTTAACACATCATAACAGAGACTTAAATAATACATATATCTGTTACATCACACATCCTTACACAACGCTCTTCTGGCCGACACCAACAACATGGCTTTATTTAATCAGGTGGTCATTACATGCAGGGCGACTGGCTCTGTGGTTACAGTTCAGGCAACAAGCCCCAGTCGGCTCACTTTGGCTGATAGGAAAGTATGTAGCACAAACACCAAAGGCTTTGGGCAGGACTCCAAATCTAACTCCTGGAATAATGTAAAACTATGTAATGCAAAATATGTAATTGTAATTTATGTAATTGTTATTAAATTACAGAGGCATTTTCTTTTAATGCTAATGCAAAATTTGCGCTTGAATGCAGAAAAATAGCATATGTAACATGTAATGAAACTTTCATTAGAAAACTAGTTATTGAAAATAAATATGTTCTGTTACATTATTGTAGTAATAATATGCAAACATCTGCATACTTTCTAATAAATTTTGACAAAAAGGCGCAAATTTTATAGTATCATTTTTCAAAATGTTCATAATATGTTACACTCTGACAACATCATGAAGCGTGACATAATGAAATACAAAATTACTGAAATAGTAGAAAACTTCTTGCTCTTCTCCTACATGAAGGACAGATACATATAATTCACTCTTGAAAACTAAGTTTTACATTTTCACTCGCAGCTGTCTGAATTTCAACACATAAATTTATATCAAATATCACCAGTTTGTCCACCCTTATGGGAGCAAGTTTGGACCTGACCAATAAGAAACTGTTTGGGGAATTGGGGAATTAAGCAAATTTTGAAAACATGAGATGATACAAAACCTAAAGTGTGAACTATATACAACAACTAGAGCAAAACAGGAACTTTTAACATTAAGGAACTAGTCAATCTAAGGACAAGTATAAAGAAGAGGGGAAAAAATTGATACTTTTTTACTGTGTTTAAACAAATATAATCTTTCAGATATGAAACACAGCTTCTCCTACCTGTTCCCCATCCTCTCCAAAATCTAACCACAGTAGTCGGTGTCCATCATCACCCGACATACGTAACTTCTCAAACGGGAAGTACCACAGCAGCTTTGGTTTGTCACCTTCTGTAGCTGGTTTCAAGGCATGTAGAGCAAATCCGTTTTCAAAGTGTAATGTTAGCTTTCCTTTATGATTTTGCCAACTAGCAGCTATAAAACAGACAGGATTATGCATTATATGCAAGAAAAAATTGCTAACTAAACATTTTAAAGGTGATATTTTCAAATTCAATAATTTAATTTGATGTTATGCCAAAGACGTTTTAATTTACTCATCAAATCCATACAAAAGTGTGTAATGGACTGATATACCTTTAAATTTAGAATTGTCCATTGTAGGATTTCATTTTTTTTCTCAAAATTTTTTAATTTAGCAGTCACCAGTATAATTATAGAGACTTATAAAATGTGCAGGCTCATCTATGCTGGTGCTATAAGCAAGTTCATATTGCCATCAGAATTTAGAGAGTAAAAGTTTGACATTTCTATCACAAGAATCAATTTAAGTCTCCTTATCACTTTTTCTCAGATAAAACTACCTAATACTGTTAGTATTGATAACTTTGCCAATTTTTCTCACTAAGACTACAAGACTGTTTTCATTATTAAATGAACACCCCTCATACAAAGCCAGTTTTTCAAGTGATATACTTTGTTCATATCCATATTTTATGGCTTGATCATAAATTATACTTACGGCATGTAACCTCCTTTACAAGTGCAGCAGCCCCATGGGATCCTTGTACAAGTGCGCGAGACCAATGAGCAAGATCCCGCTGTGTTTCCACGCGAAATATGTGCATCTCCACGCCATTTCTGGTTCCCGACCTCGTTCCAAATGACAGGACATCGGCACCAGCTGCAGACGTGGTCTGATGACCAGAATGTACCAACCTATATAAAAATACCCTTTCAATGAATCAATGATAAACAAAACAACAAAATGTATGTACTAGTTTCAATACTTCTTTTTGAGTTGAATTAATGGAATTTCTTTTTAACATTCTATTTGTTTAAACTTTAACCATTTCCACACAGAATTAGAGTAAATATGGAGATCTTTTATCAAACTGCACTGCAGAACTTTGTGTTCCTTATGTACTTTCAACACTAAGCTTAATGCTAACTACTTGTAATTTACATATAGGCAAATAAAAAACCTGGTTCAATTCTACAAAGGTTAAAGTAGATACCGTGTAGCAAGTAAAGGATGACTTTGAAATGGTGTTGCCCACTCTTCTTTACTCCATGGCACTGTATCATACATCAACATGTCTTTGTCTGTTAATGCAATAAATACTGGCTTCCAATTAGGAGTGCCTTGGTCATTCAATAGCTGAAATTAAAGATAAATGACAATATATTTTATAAATATTATCAGGTCATGTGATTTCCTTCAGATACAAAAAAGGAAATAAATTATATTCAATTTAATAAGACAGTAAATAAAATAGCATCAAAATAGAAAGATAAATTAATGTTGGGTTTTATGTTGCACCAACACTGTAAAGGTCATGTGGCAACTTTCCAGCTTTACTGGTGGAGTAAGACCTCAGGTACACCTCCGTGCATTATTTCAATCACAAACAGAAAGATAAAGACCTCAGGTACCCCTCCGTGCATTATTTCAATCACAAACAGAAACATAAAGACCTCAGGTACCCCTCCGTGCATTATTTCAATCACAAACAGAAACATTAGTAGAACAACTGAAATTCCATAAGCTAGCTAGTTAAGTACATGTATTAAACCAAAGCCCAAACAAAGTAGTGTAGGTTAAAACACCACTTTTCTCCTAAAAAGCCTGGCTTAACTACGAAAACAAATTATTTTGTAAAAGTCATACATAAATGCAGTGATTCTATAGGTGTTTTTAATGACTTTGGAATTTGAAAATATTTAGTCATGATTGTATAAGAGAAGAACAATATTCACCTGTTCTGAAAGCCAGCCCATATGTGTAATCTCACGTTGGTTCGGGGCAGAAATCATTGTGGTATTAGCATCTTGTATTGCCTGAGTGGTTAACATTGTCACATTTGCATGTAGAGCATTAAACCATTCATTACATGTTGCAACATCGGGAAAGCGTAAAATACACGAGCTTTTCCCATCAGGGGAGTGAAGCTCTAATGTTCTTTTTTCCGTGTCACAAATACTTAAATTACGACAAAGGTAACACAGTTTTAAAGGTATTGTTTTGCTTTCTGACCAGCTACTTTTTACACCGTCCTGTGAGGTTTCATGAGTGCCCCAGCCTAATTCATTCAAAGCTGAATTCTTTCGAAAGTATGGTGTTACTTCACGTAGATAGCGCACTAAAATAAACAAAAGTAACTGATGGGTTTCATGAACAAAACATAAAAATTAATCCAGTCTCTTCAAACATCTTGGTAGTAACTACACAAACGATTGCAGCAGTGTATACTAATGGTAAGTATTACTTACCATCATAAGTTTATGAAAGTAAGCAATTTCCTTGTTTTACTTCTTTAAATACCTGTTTAAACATTTTTAGTTCTTCAAACAAGATTGCATTTGAGAAAAATGCTATGCCACCGCATGGTTCAAATTTCATAGCTGTACATCAAAGGACAAGAAAGTAGGTCACATCATCAAAATCTAGGTCAAAGTTCAATTTTACAACTAAAACTGTGCACATGGTCAAAATGTCATTGCTGTACATCAAAGGACAAGAAAGTAGGTCACTGTCTCCTTGGACAAGGCATAATTTTGACCCAAGGGTTTAATAACAATCTTGATACAGGTCCACCAAACAACATTTCAAGTAAAATATCTAAGCTATAGCTTTCTCCCATTCAGAAAACATTTGTTTTATTTTCTGTTTTTAATACGTGTACATAATGAGAATCACTGCCCCCAGGGCAGGGCCAATTTTTGACATTTGAACAACTTTGGTAGCAAAGCTCTATGCCTTGAACCTTCAGACAAAAATATACTTTTTTTTTCACTATATGTACATAATGAAAATCAATGACCCCCGGGGCGGAACCAATTTTGACCCCAAGGCTATAATTTGAACAATCTTGCTAGAGGTTCACTACACAATGTTTCATGCAAAATATCTTAACTCTATCCTTTGTAAATTTAGAGAAGATGATTTTTTAAGTTTTAACTATATACATATAAGATAAACCTATGGCTCCGAGGGGCGGGGCTAATTTTGACACAAGAGGCAAAATTTGAACAACTTTGGTAGAGTACCTTTAGATGATATTATTTAACAAATATTAAAGCTCTTAACAAATATTAAAGCTCTAAGCCTTGTACCTTCAGACAATAAGATTTTTTTATTTTTTACTATATGTATATATTGAAATCAATGACCCCCAGGGCGGGGGCAATTTTGACCCCAGGGCTATAATTTGAACAATCTTGCTAGAGGTTTACAACACAATGTTTCATGCAAAATATCTAACCTCTAGCATTTGTCAATTGCTAGAAGATTTTTTTTAAAGTTTTTACTATAAACATATAAGGAAAACCAATGACCCCTGGGGCGGGGCCGATTTTGACCCCAGGGCTTTAATTTGAACAATCTGGGTAGAGGTCTACCAGACAATGCCTTATGCAAAATATCTAAGCTCTAGGCCTTTTGGGTCTTTACAAGAAGGTGTTTTAAGGTTTTACTATATGTACATATAGCGAAAATCAATGACCCCGGGGCGGGGTTGATTTTGACCCAAGGACTATAATTTGAACAATCTTGGTAAGGGTCTACCAGATGATGCCTTATGCAAAATATCTTAGCTCTAGGCCTTTCGGGTTTTTACAAGAAGGTATTTAAAGTTTTTACTATATGTACATAGTGAAAATCAATGACCCCCGGGGCGGGGCCAATTTTGACCCCAGGGCTATAATTTGAACAATCTTGTTAGAGGTCTACCAGACAATGCCTTATGCAAAATATCTAAGCTCTAGGCCTTTTGGGTCTTTACAAGAAGATTTTTTAAATTTATTCTTATAATTCCTTTTGGTTGCCATGGCAACCAGATTTCTGCATGGAATGAAATTCTTTGAACAACTTTGGAAGCCCTTCACCCAAGGAACAATCCTGCCAAGTTTGGTTAAAATTGGACTAGTAGTTTTTCACAAGAAGATTTTTTAAGTTCACTATATAATCTATATAACACACACACACACACACACACACAAACAGGTGAATAGCTATATGCCACCGCATCGCAGATTGCGGTGGCATAAAAAATATAAAAAAGTATAGCTGGGGCAAATAAAAAATAGTTCTGATAAATGTCTTGAATAGAAGGAAAATTTTTTGGCTTTGGCGTGGCAAAAGTCAATGTTGCTTCCATTCTCTGGTGAAGGTAGATCAGGATTACAAAATGAAACAAGAGCCGGTTGAACCGGGTGATGCTCCCCGAATAGGTTTTGGACACAGGAAGGTATACCTCTTGTAGTGTCAGAGTTATGTCACAGACAAAGTTCAAAGTGTAAAAATAACCCAAATGTTGTGCACGACACATTGTCTCAATATGGTGATCATTTTTGTGAAATAGTTGTAAAATCCAACTTCAAATAACGAAGTTATGGGCCGGACATGATTTTGCTGCAAGGTCATGCTGTGACCTTGACCTTCATAGTAGCGAGCCAAATGTTGCGCGCGACACGTTGTCTCAATATGGTGATCATCTCTGTGAAATAGTTGTTAAATCCAACTTTAAGTAACAAAGTTATGGGCCGGACACCATTTTGCTGCAAGATTATGCTGTGACCTTGACCTTCAAGGTAGCACCCAAATGTTGTGCGTGACACGTCATTTCAATATGGTGATCATTTCTGTGAAATAGTTTTAAAAGCTGACTTCAAATAACGAAGTTATGGGCCGGACACGATTTTGCTGCAAGGTCATGCTGTGACCTTGACCTTCAAGGAAGCCACCCAAATTTGCGCGCGACATGTCGTCTTAATATGGTGATCATTTCTGTGAAATATTTTTAAAATCCGACTTCAAATAACGAAGTTATGGACCGGACACGATTTTGCTGCAAGGTCATGATGTGACCTTGACCTTCAAGGAAGCAAGCCAAACGTTGCGCGCGACATGTCGTCTCAATATGGTGATCATTTCTGTGAAAAAGTTTTAAAATCCGACTTCAAATAACAAAGTTATAGGCCAGACACAATTTTGCTGCAAGGTCATGCTGTGACCTTGACCTTCAAGGTGCGACCCAAATGTTGTGCATGACAGGTTATCTCAATATGATGATCATTTCTGGAAATATTTTTAAAATCCGACTTCAAATAACAAAGTTATGGGCCGGACATGATTTTGCTGCAAGGTCATGCTGTGACCTTGACCTTCAAGTATGCGACCCAAATTTGCGCGTGACACGTCATCTTAATATGGTGATCTTTTCTGTGAAATATTTTTAAAATCCGACTTCAAATAACGAAGTTATGGACCGGACACGATTTTGCTGCAAGGTCATGCTGTGACCTTGACCTTCAAGGTAGCGAGCCAAACGTTGCGCGCGACACGTCGTCTCAATATGGTGATCATTTCTGTGAAAAAATTTTAAAATCTGACTTCAAATAACAAAGTTATAGGCCGGTCACGATTTTGCTGCAAGGTCATGCTGTGACCTTGACCTTCAAGGTAGCGACCCAAATGTTGCGCGTGACACGTCGTCTTAATATGGTGATCATTTCTGTGAAATAGTTTTAAAATCCGACTTCAAATAACAAAGTTATGGGCCGGACACGAATTCAGGACGTACGTACGTACGGACTGAAGGACTGACGGACGGACGGACAACCCGACGACTATATGCTCCCCCGAAATTTTTCGGGGAGCATAACAAGAGCTGTCACCCAAGTGACGAATGCCCCCCAAAAGGTTTCTTAAGCATGCCGGTATTATGAAAAGAAAAGAGAATGAAAGTAACTAATTGCGGAATATTGTTCTTTGTATTATTGTACCTGTAATCTCTAATTGTGATACCATGAACCTTCAAAATATAAGTGTGACCTTGACCTTTGAAGAAGGGACGTGGTGCCTGGACGCGACAAAATGTTGTTATGAGATAGACATTTGTGCCAAGTTATTTCAAAATCCCTCAATGTATGACAAAGTTACAGTCCGGAAACAAATGAAGTGGGACAGACAGACAGACGGTGCGATTATATTATGCCTCCTTTTGGGGGCATAAAAACTAGTCCATATTATTAGACTTTTTAAAGAGACATCGAGATATTTTTTGAACAGGCAATGTTTTTTTCCAAGCCCAACCCAGACTGCATTTTTCAACACAGACACTGCCCAATTAGAAGTTGATGTAACACAATGAATGGAAGAACGGCCAACTTGGCCCGATAGATCCCACTTAATTTCTCTCTAAAGGGTAATCAGTTTTAAATCTTTCACCAGTGCATATGATATTTATGTAAACATTATCGTCTAAATTTCCGGTCTCTAGTCTAGACCTGCAAATATTGGAGACTGGCCAACAGCAATACTACACATATTTTCTTATCGATCTTTCTCAGTTCTAAAGCAGTCATTTCAATTGTTTCATTTTAAGTAAAAAGTCAATTTTTGTAGTCTTCATATTATTTTCTCTTTTTGGTGGGCTTGAGAGACTAAAGAGATAGTTTACAATAAAATTTGTTTAAAATAAATCACTGGTATGCATTCCGAGAGCTAAAATGAAAATTAAATTTGGGTGTTACTGTAATGCTTTGAAATTAGGATCAAACATGGGTCATGAGGCTTAACAAGAAGTTACCTTCCACTTCAACTATCTTCCCAGCATTCTTCAATGCCCTGACAGCCTCATCATGTGTGGCGTTGCAAAGATCTTCGCCATTCACTGCAAGAATTGCATCACCAACATACAACTGTCCAGTTTTATCAGCAGCCATGCCTTTAAATATCTTACTGATCAAAATGGGCATTTTATTCTCTCTTCCACCTTTAATACTTATACCAAGGCCATATGTTTCCTCTTTGATAACTTTGACAACTCGCTTTTGGCCAGGAATATTGTCAGGTACATGAGCGGCTTCTTGGGAATTTGATGGGACGTTACTGGACTGAGCTGATATATCGTTGTTTGTGGAAGATGTGGACATATTTTCAGGAGGTTCGTCAAGGGATAAAGTTAATGATTCATCATTTAACGTCACTGTCACTTTACACCATTGCTGGCGTATATAAACTTCGAAATGCCCCGTCCGACCAGATATGTTGGTCGCCATTTTGATTTCTTTTCAAGGGACGTAACTCTGCAAATATTTCCACACCACTAAATCATATATGGCACAAAACCGCTATTCTTTTTCACCCCTTAATGATATAGCCAGGTTACAAGGGTAACACAAAGATTACAGTGGGATACAGTTAATCTCCGACATATCTACACTAAATCAATACATGTATATTATAGTCGCCACTTGTTCAGAGGTACTAAAATGCAACTTATACACGTCGATAATTAAATCAATAATCTGTAACAAATAGCCACGTTTTCTTTTTTTTTGTCATGTATAGCTCACAAAATAATTACTATCATGGAAATGTTTGTAAAAAAATCTCTCATAATTATGAAAAATTATACGATAAACATTAACACCACATGTTGTTATGGCATTATTCCATGTATTTATATCTCTGTTCTAAAAAAATGTGAAACTGGATCCAATTAGATAAACTGGGACTTAGGCGAGATATCTAAAATGACGTTTTGGAAATAGGAATTTTGATTTTAATTATTTCCAATTAATATTTAACAATTACACGCCTCAGTGTGGACAAATTAGTGGCAATCCCTTCTCTATGTTCTGTTCTAGTTAAATAAGATAAAACGTGCAATTATCTCTCATACTTCCTATTGGAGGTGTACTCCTGGCACATATAGATAACCCCACCACGTCTTCCATCTTATGTTGTTTTTTCCAACAAATTTAACAAGCACATGCGTGGTCACCTATAGTAATATATAAGAGATGGACAAACTGTGCTTTTTTCGAATTTGGTAAACTTTTTTCATTTCTTAAGGTTGACCTCAAAACCTGCCTCAAAACGTTCCTTTTAATCTACCAGAAGGTAGCTAGAATTGTCATGGACAATTAAGACACTGACTTTAGAAAGTTTCTTGAAAAATGGTTTTAATATCAACAAAAAATAAAATAAAACGTAAAAATGTAAAAATAAATGATTAATACTGATTTTTCAGCTAATTGAAATCCAAAGGGATGACAAACTTCTGTCATGGGGTAAAACATTAAGTTCTTGATTTCCATTTCCATAAATAATTTTTGTAGTATATCTTAAAATCTGTTAACCCAACTTTGTTAAGTGTGGCAAAATGTAAAATACATGAAGATTTGTGGGAGTTATTGATGTACGTCAATGTTCATGACAGCCCGGGAAATAGGTATAAAACACTCAAAAAGATTTGGGAAAATATTTGGAAAAACTTTACAACACTTTAAAACATTAATTTTATTAAAGTTTAAAATTCAGATGTTGTGTAAATTTTGTATAGATTAGAAAATGTCACTGACTATGAAAGTTCTAATTATCTCTTTTGCTTAAATTTATTCCTATGTTAAAAATCTAAATGTTTGACATTCTTTGTCAATGACTGTATTTGTTATTTCCCACACCAAGATTTGTAATCGTCCATAACAGAAAATGATCGCACTCATGCACGATAGATTTTGTTTTAAGTTTTAATCACTAATGTCTTCACATATAAATTATGTTACATTGTGTATTTATTTAAAATATTGTGAAAAAATACTTTTAAACTTGATTGTATTTCAAACTTAAATCCGCTTTAATGCCTAGTTCTTTCAGAGCTCTGATATTATATTTCGTGAAATTATAGTATAATTGTACATTTTGAAACATACATGAACGTGTATTTGCAGGCGGAATTCTGAAGGGAAGTATATAGAAGTTTTGAATTGCACCTTCTTATTTTATAAAACTAAATTTCTAAAGTGCTCTCTCCAAGTACTTTTGTATTTTCACTGTACATTGATATTATATCTACATGTGCATCCCAATGACATTATTTCGTGTTATGTTATGTAATCCGTATGTATATGTTTTGTATATTGACATGTGTACTGTTCGTTGTCTTGTATTATGTTAATATCATGCCAACACGAGCTTATAATATAAGCCTTAAATACTTGATTGAAATAAAATATATTTTCTATCAATTAATCCTAGTCATAGGTCACTGTTGGGATTATCAATGTAAATGTAGATGCGTCGATAAACTTTTAGATAAGTTTTATAGATAGACAATATGAATGAAAGACAATATGAACGAAGTAGGATTTTATATAGTCTGTTGTATGTCTGAACTATTATCAAGACATGAACATATTTCAGAACAGAAATTATACAAGTATAAATGTGTCAATTCAAACGTTGCCGGCATGTTAGACAAAGAACATATTATGTACATGTTCTAGTAAATAAAAATGAAGTTATCAGTATCATACTAACAGAAATAAATTCGGACAATGCGGAAAAATTAAGTAAAAAGATACTGAAAATGAAGTACTAGTAAATAGTATACATCGTCACCTTAGTGCAGTAACTGGCGAACACCTAGCTTCTGTGATTTTATAGGAGTTAACCCGTTACTGCAACAAGGTGACGAAATGTATTTTCATGGAGCTAAATATATCTGTGGGATTTTGCAAACAATCTGTAGATATTTTTTGAATCACAAAAACTGAGAAATGATAGATGACACTGACTTGCATCAGTATTTTTTTTTGCAGAATATAGTTTGAATTTTACAGACAAATTGAATTAGCATGAATAATAAACTTATTACAGTTAATTAAAGCTGTAAACTAACAAAGTAGAGAAAAGGAGAAAATCAGTTATTACAGAGCCTTACATACGTAGATTACAGATTTAGATAATTATAGTTCTGTGGTTATTTGCAGCAGTTATAATAATTATGTCACTGCATGATAGGAAACTCACAGAAATAATTTAAATAATAATGATAATGATAATATTTAATAATATTAAATATTTTAGAAACCGCACCAAAAAAACAACATAATTTGTTATTGTTTTTTTTTTCCTGAAAATTCCATACAACATGGACATTTCTGCCTTTACGTAATAGACCATGTCTGCAGAGCAACTGGCATCTTCGATGGATGAGATGACATCGATTTTGTGTAATGCACGTTATTATCTCAGTTCAAACATTTTTATATGATAATTATCATTTATTTTCTATTTTCAATATAAGAAGAGAAATTAATGCAATTGCTGTTCTTATACAATTTTAAATTACAGTATCTTTTCAGTCCGGATGCGCATCAAAATATTGCGGGAAACGTAAACCGATATGATGGCAGCAAACGAGCGAAAATTTTCGACGTTATATGAAAAATGTAATGATTTTCATTTCATTGTGAAGATATTTAACAAATAAGATATCCTGTCTTGAGTTATTTTTGTCGTAACATCAATTATGACGTGATTTTACTTTTTTTACTGATTTGCATAATTTCGGATATGTGAATTTTCGGATGTAAACACTTATGCTAATCACTACGAGCAGTGATTTCTTTTCAACCTGTGGCTTTCTGAAGGGGAAAATATAGGGCGATAAATCAGAAAAGGGGGAAACCTGAAATTTAATTCCAACAACTGAAAATGGTCATGCTTGCGTAAAGTTTTTGCACGCACCTCAAAAACTACTAAAGCCAGTAAAGGGTGTGGGTTGAAACTTCACACATTTATTCCAACTCTAGTTTAACAAGTGAAGTTAAAAAGATCATAGCTCTGTCCGACTATGCATATGTCAGAATTTTAAGTCAACTCTCTATACATTGTAGCATCAGGCTCAATCTATACAATGAAATGGCAAAAAAAACAAAACAAAAAAAACAAATTGATGTATCTACATTGTACGTCAGCGCAATCACACTTGATTATAACGCGACGGGTGGTGCTAGGTCAAGAAAAAGAAATATGCATGAAATGATAGAAAGTTAGAAGAGGTTTGATAGGTCAAAAGAAAGAGATATAGACAAAAAGTCTGGCCAGCTACATTTCGCCTCTTCAACCCAAACCTCTCCGGTTACGGTGGCCGCGGCCAGCACAGCCTTGGATATCACTAGTGGGTACTTGTAGCTGGGCCCCTAATGGCGGATTAGAATGTGAGGGGTGATAACCCCTGCTTGAAGGATACTGGATACCAAGTCAGGGGCCTCTGCAATGGGGCAGGTAGGCTGTTCCAGGTTGTGGCTGTACGAGGGAAGAAGGAGTTCTTGTAGTACGATGTAGATGTGGATGGTAGATGGAACTTCTTGGAGTGGTCACTTCTAGTGCGGCTCGGGGCAGGGATGAGGTAATTGCTGACTGGTATGCCCACAAGGTCATTAGTGATCTTGAACATCATGGTCAGGGGGCGTCCGTGGCCGAGTGGTTAAGGTCGTTGACTTCAAACCAGTTGCCCCTCACCGCTGTGGGTTCGAATCCCGACAGGGACTTTGGATTCTTTCATGTGAGGAAGCTATCCAGCAAGCTTACGGAACGTCGGTGGTTCTACTCAGGTGCCCGTTCGTGCCTGAAATAATGCACGGAAGGGCACCTGAGGTCTTCCTCCACCAGTAAAGCTGGAACGTCTTGATATGACCTATACTGTGTCGATGTGACGTAAAACCCAAAACAAACATCATGGTCAGCTGGGCTTTGGTCTGTCGTGACTAATGTCTCCCACCCCAAGTGTTGGATCATGAAGGATAAGCTGCTGGTGTTGTGGTAACGGTCCGTCAAATATCTTGCAGCTCTCCTCTGGACCATCTTGAGCTTGCGTGTAAGGTTCTTGGTATAAGGGTTCCAGACAGTGGAGCAGTATTAAAGGCCTGGTCGCACGAGTGACATGTAGGCTGTGCTCTTGACCTGTTCGTTGCTGATGCGCAGGTTGTGTCGAAGGAAGGCGAGTATGCTGTTGCCCTTCTTCACAATCTTGTCAACGTGTTGGTTCCAGGAGAGGTTTCCAGACATATGGACTCCAAGGTACTTGGTTGTCGAGTCTATCTCGAGTGTGTGGCCCTTCAAGTAGTACGGGTATATAATCGGGTTCCTCTTCCTGTGGACCCTGATTATGCTGCACTTCTCTGGGTGAAAACTCATGCCCCAGCGTTTCTCCAACAATGCCAGCTTCTTCAGGTCATCCTGTAAAATGTGGCAGTCCTCTTCAGTGGCGATTTCCCGGTATAACACACAGTCGTCATGTTAAATGTACTTTTAGGAGAGTGAAATGGCAGAGATCTGCCGAGGATGGGATTTTGCACGCTAAAAAAATAATGGCTTAGGAAAATCATCAGCCAAGGGCACATCTAAAATCTGTGCCAGGCTTATATGTACGAAAACAAAACTGTCCATTGGGTTAATAATTAGCCATTCTGTCAAAACTGATAGATTAATCATTATGCAAATTAGATTTTTGAGCAGCCAATGAAAATTAACATTAGTTAGAAATTTACCGTCAAGCCAATTTTCTTTTAATTATTGGTTATCTTCTGTGTTAAGTCAGGGCTTTTTTTCTTTCTATAGCAGGGGCCGTTATAGGGCTGCTTCCCCAAGGAAATCATGCATTTTGTCCCTAATTTGACCTAAAACAGTTTTGTTTGCTCTCATTTTATTTAAAGCTTATACAGTTATAGTTGTTATTTTTTACAGTAAACAGTCAGTTTCCACACATCAACTTGAGTACTGATGATGCAGAGAAGTATCCAGATTTCTGTACATTGCTGACAAAACTATCGTCATTTATTCAAACAGATGATGTATCTATTCAAACAAATAAAGATCTTAAACAGGTATTATTTGATTTTAATTAGAATTGTTTGAAATATCTCCGGTAAGACCAAGTTGTGATAATCATTCAATTCAAATCATTAGGCTCTCTCTGCTGTAGGTTAAAATTCTGCTCTTTATTTGAGGACTGTCATTGACAATGTGTTTTGTTTTTATCACAGAGTTTTTGGGGCCGAAAAAGAGCCCTATTCACAAAGCTAGAAATTATCATTTTTTTACATTACATGGTTAATAAAAATTATCAAATTGTACTTTAATAGTAATAACATTGTCAGTGACTTGAAAACCCATATATTAACTTAAGTTAAATGTTATTATGATAGGGGTGTCATCGATTCAATCGATATCGGTGTATCAACGATCTTTGTTGTCCGATTCGATATCGATTCCATTTTTTAAATATCGGATATCGAATGCACATATATTTCTAGCTAAAGAGACTTCAGCGAACAGGTTTTATAGAACTGACAGACCTGTTTATACTGTCGCAAAACGTCAAAATAAAAGCGACATGTAAAGTTATGGATGCCAGAAACATTTTTATCTAAAATGAAAACGGAAATCAATGCCAAAGTTACCTCCCAGTGTCTCTAACGAATGCTGCCTAATTTCGTTGTAATCTCGCATGTCTGCTAAGTGGATGTCAAGACCACTCAATTCAGATTTTAAAAAAGGGAAAATGCAAAGAAAAATTTGTCAGTGTTTCTTTGTAAAAATTATGATTACAAAATGTTAAACTTTAATAATTATTCAGGTTCTAAACACTATAATTTGCCAATTAAACACGGCTTAATTGGAACGGCAAGGACAGGATTAAGCAAGTTCAGTAACTACGTAATAGCAACAACAACAACAACAACAACAACAAAAGTAAAATTGAAACGGCTTTAAACTTTCTAGTTACTTGTCATTAGCTATATGATAAAAAAGAAACAAATTGTTCAGTTTTCATAGTTTATCTTTTTTGCATTTGTCTAAATGGGACAAATTTCATCCGATTTCCATCACTACTAAATATAACTTCTTTGTCAGTGACCTTAGGAAACATTTAAAAAGACTTGAAAGCTAAAATTTAGCATGACAGTCGATATATCGCTGTATCGCCGATAATTCATTACCGATATATCGATACAAAAATCCTTATCGATGACACCTCTATATTATGAAAGATACTACTATTATTTGTAAGATAGTGCCACTTAAATAGCCAAAAGTCAGTGTTTTAAATTCATTACATTAAACTTCAACAAAAAAATACATGCATTGTAACATATTTCTGTATTTAATGAAGGCTGAAGAAGTGTTACGACATGAGAAACACTCTTGGTTATTAAACCATATTCTGTATCTGGAGGTCCAGGAACTGCTGCTTGATTATGAGTTGAAGAGTCAAGATGTTTCCCTCTCGTCTAGAGATCAACAAGTAAGCACTAGCTTTATACAGAATATCATCTGTTTAGGGTTACATATCCTGTAATGCATGGTTGAGTGTGTATGACCTTTTCCATGCACTGTCATTGATAATCAAATTGCAAGTGCCTGATTATTTGTTTTCAAGAAAAAAAAGATATATAAACATTAAGTGACATTTTGCCTTTCTTCAATATAATTTGGATTAGAATTTTTAGATAAAATACATTACATGGTATTGTACAGGTGAGTACTAGAGAACATGTTTGAATGCATTTAAACAGTTTGAGAAATCATATTATGCTCAATTTTAGGCTTGTCTTTTATGTTTTCATGTAACAAGCTGTGTATTATTTCATACATTTTCCAGTACAACATCAGTGTTTGAAATTAGCAGTAGTCCGCTAGCCTGTGACTACCAATTTTCTGCCTGGGCTAACAATATTTCGCAGTAACAAGCCCGACAGGGCTACTGTATTTTACAAAGGCAATGTAAACAACTGTTTTGAACGAATGAATCATAATAGTGAAATGTCTTGTGGGCTAGTGAATATTCCAATGTGGTAGCCCGAACAGCCTATTTGATTCAAATCTGAATTTCGTACACTGCAACATACATTTATAGATATTCACTTACATAAATATTTCAGTTTCATAAGATACTACAGCAGTGCCTGACACAGGCTGAGATCGGGGACTACCTAGACTTTAGCCCAGACCCTTGCTCTAAGGCCACCACACTGGGACTCACGAAACAGGAACTGTATGACCAGAATCCATACAAAAAGGTAAAAAATAAATGTATAAATGTAACTTACATTGATTTTATGCACAAAGCAAGTAAAAAGTAGGTAAAGTAGGTAAGTAAAGACTTTATTTACTTATTTACACATTTGGTACCAATCTCAACAACATAATTTACAAAATATACACTATTTACATTATGGTTATACAGTGACATTAAAAAAAAATAATATGTTTTTTTAAATGATTATCCAGAGGTGTCAAGTTGGATTCCTTACTTTATAACTTGAAATAATCAAAAGATTTAAAATTAGTCATTTAAAGACTGATATTTACAGGTTTAAGGATAAAGGAATGACCTTCAATGAATGTAGATGAATTGTTTGACTATTGAGTTACTTTGGTGCAAGTATTTTAGTTGTTAAAATGTGTTAAAAGTAACCAGCCTTGACCACGATACTTTAACCTATGATCTATATGATTTGAATGATATTTAGGTCAGTAGGATACTATAACTTTGACCACAAGAAATAAATAACTAAGGAGAACGCTTCAGATTTGGTAGGGAGGTTTTTACAAGACCCTGTTGATTTTTTAGGTCAGTAGGTCCAAACCCCAAGGCTTAAGCTGCTACTTTTTACCGTTCATCGGAAAACCCTCCTTACCAGTAACCTGTTAACAAGACTCAAAAAAAATCTACTTAACTATATATTGCCATATTCAAGATGTTAAATAAAACAATTACACTTGATTTACAGCACTTACAGTCATTACAACAGGCACTTATACCAGAAATAGAGGAAAGATTAAGAAAAAAATGTGAAACATTAGTTGTAGCCCATGATCCACAGAATTCATCAATGGGTAAGTTTTAAAAATCTTAATAAAACATTACCTTGATAAATTTTTGTGTAAAAGACTTTCGATTCATATCAATTCAAAAGTGTTTGACATTAATTTAGGAGTTTTTAATGTTGGTTTCAAATATTTATTAGACAACAATATAGACTTGAGTCTGACTGCATACACTTGCATGCTGCATGGTTCCTAAGTAAAGTTTAAAAAAAAAATTAAATTCAGAAGGTTACTTTTCTTATATGTTCAGAGATTATAAAAAATTCGAAGTAATGACTCTTTTTAAAGTCTGAAACTTTGTGCAGATTATTGTACATATATGTTATCTTATATGTTTCTTGTATGATGATAAACTTTTGCACAAATCTCAAATACAATTCCTGCTTAGTTCTACTTAGTTTGTATTATTGTATTTACATTTTTCAAGTGTAAACATAACCATGTGACATGATATATTGTATTATATATATATTTGCAAGACAATGTATTATGTACAAGTCTCAAATAAATGTCTGTTCTGTTTTGTTATCTCCAATCACAAAAAATCACTTGTAAAACTGCATAAATTTAGAATTTATATAAACACTGCTATTAGGTAGTGGAATAAAGATACTCCTGAACTTGACAAATGTTGATTTTTCTAATTGTCCCCCGCCTTTTCGAAGAAAAAAGGGGGATATAGAAATAGGCTCCGTCCGTCTGTCCGTCCGTCCGTCTGTCCGTCCGTCACACTTTCGTGTCCGGTCCATAACTTTGTCATTTATGAAAGGAATTTGAAATAACTTGGCACAAATGTTTATTATAATAAGACGATGTGTCATGCGCAACAACCAGACCCCTACCTCCAGGGTCAAGGTCACACTTGCTCATTCAAGGTCAAAATTGCCTATTTGAGGGTATATGTCGTGTCCGGTCCATAACTTTCTTATCTATGAAGGGATTTTGTAAATACTTGCCATAATTGTTAACAATAATCAGACGATGTGTCATGCGCAAAAACCAGTCACCTACCTTTAAGGTCAAGGTCACACTTGGAGGTCAAATATTAACATAGTCTGTTACAGGGTATATTTCGTGTCCGGTCCATAACTTTCTTATCTATGAAGGGTTTTTGTAAATACTTGCCATAATTGTTCACAATTATCAGACGATGTGTCATGCGGAAAAAGCAGTCACCTACCTTCAAGGTCAAGGTCACACTTGGAGGTCAAATATTAACATAGTCTGTTACAGGGTATATTCGTGTCCGGTCCATAACTTTCTTATCTATGAAGGGATTTTTGTAAATACTTGCCATAATTGTTCACAATTATCAAACGATGTGTCATGCGGAAAAAGCAGTCACCTACCTTCAAGGTCAAGGTCACACTTGAGGGTCAAATATTAACATAGTCTGTTACAGGGTATATTTCGTGTCCGTCCATAACTTTCTTATCTATGAAGGGATTTTGTAAATACTTGCCATAATTGTTAACAATAATCAGACGATGTGTCATGCGCAAAAAACCCAGTCACCTACCTTTAAGGTCAAGGTCACACTTGGAGGTCAAATATTTAACATAGTCTGTTACAGGTATATTTTCGTGTCCGGTCCATAACTTTCTTATCTATGAAGGGTTTTTGTAAATACTTGCCATAATTGTTTATAATAATCAGACGATGTGTCATGCGCAAAAACCAGTTGCCTACCTTCAACGTCAAGGTCACACTTGGAGGTCAAATATTAACATAGTCTGTTACAGGGTATATTTCGTGTCCGGTCCATAACTTTGTCATTTATCAAAGGAATTTGAGATAACTTGGCACAAATGTTTGTTATAATAAGTTGATGTGTCATGCGCAACAACCAGACCCGTACCTTCAGGGTCAAGGGCGTACTTGTTCATTCAAGGTCAACATTGTCTATTTGAGGGTATATGTCGTGTCCAGTCCATAACTTTCTTATCTATGAAGGACTTTTGTAAATACTTGCCATAATTGTTAACAATAATCAGATGATGTGTCCTGCGCAAAAACCGGTCACCTACTTCCAAGGTCAAGGTCACACTTGGAGGTCAAATACTTACATAGTCTGTTACAGGGTATATTTTGTGTCAGGTCTATAATTTTTTCATAGATCAAAGGATTGTGAAAATACTTCGCACAAATAGTCACTATAATAAGAGGATGTGTCATGCGCAACACCTGCATCCCTACCTCCAAGGTCAAGGTCACACTTAGAGGTCAAAAATTAACATAGTCTGTTATAGGGTATATTTTGTGTTGAATCTAGAACTTCTTCATAGTTCAAGGGATTTTGAAATAACTTGGCACAAATAGTCACAATAATAAGACGTTATGTCATGCACAACACCTGCTCCCCTACCTCCAAGGTCAAGTGCACACTTAGAGGTCAAAGCTTAACATGATAGATTTTTAAATTCTGTGTTTCATTTTATTTTTATGCCCCCACAGAGTGGGAGCATATAGCGTTGCACTTGTCCGTCCGAGTGTCTGTTCGTCCGTCTGTCCGTCCGTACGTCTGTCCGTACGTCCCGAAATCTTGTGAACGCAACTCCTCTTAAACCGGATGGCAGATTTTGCTTAAACTTACAGGGATGAACAACCTTAATGTGTAGATGGTAGTAAAGGAAGGAATTTTTGCTGCGACCAAATTTAACAGAATTATGGCCCTTTGTTGATTTTTTCACTATATACTATGTAGAAATTTTATGAACGCAACTCCTCTTAAACCGGATGGCAGATTTTGCTTAAACTTCCACGAATGAACAACCTTAATGTGTAGATGGTAGTAAAGGAAGGAATTTTTGCTGCGGCCAAATTTAACAGAATTATGGCCCTTTGTTGATTTTTTCACTATATACTATGTAGAAATTTTCGTGAACGCAACTCCTCTTAAACCGGATGGCAGATTTTGCTTAAACTTCCAGGGATGAACAACCTTAATGTGTAGATGGTAGTAAAGGAAGGAATTTTTGCTGCGACCAAATTTAACAGAATTATGGCCCTTTATTGATTTTTTTCACTACATACTATGTAGAAATTTTGTGAACGCAACTCCTCTTAAACCGGATGGCAGATTTTGCTTAAACTTCCAGGGATGAACAACCTTAATGTGTAGATGGTAGTAAAGGAAGGAATTTTTTGCTGCGACCAAATTTAACAGAATTATGGCCCTTTGTTGATTTTTAGTTTTTCAACTTGTGGCACATGTAGTCCAAAAAATATTTGACCTAGAGTCATAAGATTGACAGAACAGTGGCGTGTGGGGGCATCAGTGTCCTTTGGACACATTTCTAGTTTTAACAAATTTATTGTTACATTTGCAGATCTAGTATTGATCATAATTTTGGACTGAATGTCCTGAGATCCATACCTCAATCTTTTGAAATAGCACAATTTTATGCTTCATATAAAACTCCCGGGGCGGGGGACGTTGGTAACTCTGTTACAAATTCTTGTTTAATCTCGGAGTAGGGGTACAAACAATCTTCAGTAGCAATGCTTTAATTCCTATTGTGAACAGTAGTGCTTTTTTGTTGAAACTATAATGATAAAGTTTGTTTGTACCTCGTAATTAGATTGGAAAAACCCACATTTGCCAAAGTTAAAAACATTGATGTTAGGCAAACACCAGTACATAGATCTTATTTAGCATATATGTTGTTGATGTAGACTATATTAATATTGATGTATTACAGAGAGCACAAAGTTAACGTTCGCCAAATCATCACAATTACCAGCCATTGTAGAGAATGATAAACTTCATCTAGAAGAGGAAAAACGTCGACTGAAAGAGGACTTTGTGAAGAAGGATAAACAGTTTGCAGCTTATTATCAGGTTTTTCTCTTGATTTTCTTTCCTAGGTTAAGCATCTAATTCATCCTACTAGCTAACAGGAGGTCTGTGGTTCTCCTCGGAAGCCCACTTGTTCCAGACTTGATGCATAGTTTGGCTATTGGGGTCTTCCTCTGCAAGCTTGAAATAAGGATTTGTAACATTTTCAAAGAATATACACAAATGTACTATATATAGAATAGGGTATGAACTTCAAATAATCATGGAAATCCAATTTCAATATTCATGGTTTTCAGATTTATTTTGGCTGCTGCAAATGATTAGCAATTGTTCAATATAAATCTCATTAATTAACATCCAAAAAAAATTTTATCTACAAAAAATATTACACACACAAGCCATTGTTAAAAAATCCCAGGTTACAAAAATGTTGTGTACTGTACTTGCTCAATTTTAGATAATTTGTATTCTCTGTGAAGGAATGCAAAATATCACCTAATATATTATGATTTGATGAGTATAAATCATTATAATTTGTACAATAGTCAAATTTTCATGTTCAAAAGAGGTTTTAAAATTTTTTCATTCAGATACTTTTTTGGTCAACAGCTTTTACTGCTGATGTCACATAGAAAAGTTCTTTCACTTTCAACTGTCCAATATAAGATAATTTATATTAGACAATACAGTGTCCAATATGGAAAAATATTGGATGGTCAAATGGTGTAAATAAAAAAAACAGCAATTTATGTTAATAATTGATATAATAATGATGTAAAATATATATACAAGCAAATAAGGCTGTATTTTGTGAAATATTATACCGATCTAGTTGCTTTTATAACTTTATTGAAAGTTTAATGAAGTTATTAACTTAAACATTCATGATAATCTGAACTTTTATTTAGATTGTTTTTTTACTTCAGAAACTTTTTAGACTCATTAGGCTTGTTGGAAACTCTGATATCTAAATACAAGCTGGAGAAACAATGTGAGAATGATACTATAACAACAGAATGGCTGTATGCTAAATGTGATGCGATGAGTCTCAAGATAAGGTAAGATGTGTGACTTTAAATCTGCTGTATTTGTTACATGCGCTAGTCTTAATTTCCATTTCTGGAACTGTCTTATCTATTTCAAGGATATCACAAAAAATGTAATGTCAGTCAGTGTAGAGCCTTGTCAGACTACACAGATATGCTGGCTTTCCTGGTTTTATACTGGTGGCAAAGACTGAGCACTTTAGTTTCTGGGAT